CTTATAAGTTTCATCATGCTCCAGTTCCCAAATCATTGTGACAAAATCTAAATCTATTAAAGGTGTTTCTGTAATTCTACCTTTTTTGAATGTTACTTTTGCACATTTATCTAATCCGAAGTCCATACCTATGTCGTCACTGAAAGGCTTACTAATAAGATTAGGGGGGAAACGGGACTAGAGGATTTTTTTTTTGTGTTTACAGATTTAGGTCCTTCCAATGCAAAATTAAAGGATCCTGACACAATCTGGAAAGAACAATACGAAAACTTTCACAGTGACTCCATATTCAAATAAACATAGTCGCTGTAAGGAACGGATATGAAAGTGTGAAAATGTCCGAGACTTATGGTGAGATATGTTGAGGGGAAGCCGAGTGAAAGCAGCCAAAGTAAGTTACCTGAATAATGATAAGAAAACGATGAAAGTCGAAAATCTTCGATCAAACGCAAGACGGGAGGAGTGAGATATCAGCGAGAAATCAAGTTAAATATATGAGGTTAAGGAAATTATCAAAAAGAAAAGTAATCAGACAAAAATACCTTTCTAAATACGACAATTCCAGAGAACGAAAATCCGCAGTGTGCCAACGTGTCTATCGAATGGGACACAAGATCAAATAATTTTCAAAGAATAGCTGAGATGTGGCACAAGATAGAAATTGCAGAGCACACAGTGAGGATTGAACTCACTACTCAGTCGCAACTGATATAAAGACACAAGCTTGCTGACCATTACGCCACGGCGATGTGTCCAAAACAGAGACGTTATAGAATTGTGCAGCAAGACAGAAAATAAGAGTGCCCTTCTGAAGGCTGTAGAAAAAGGGATAATCACGATAGACACTAAACAATATACAAAACAGATAAACTGTAGCAAGTGCATTTTTTCTGTTACCACAGAGAGAAAATCCTACAATAAATAAAATCAGAAAAATCCGTAATACTTCTTGTTTGTGTTGACAAATACTATATTCCCTGCTAATGTTACGTTACTATGGATTTTTTTGTGCGATTCTACTGAAGTAAAATCTTAATGTAAACGAAGTAGGACAAGAAGAATTTGTAACAGAGTTGCTGATTGGCCATACAAGTTATTTGTAGCAGCATAAATGACAGCGGCGGAATACTAATGTTTACCACAGTAGGTTAGTCTTCATATTAATGCCAAAGATACAAATCGGCAGAAAGATTTACAAGTTATCTTTCATAGTTTACACAAAGGAATTTGATAATGTACAACACAAAGAAATATTAATATTAAGAATTATTGATTTACTCGAAAAGATAGTCCCATAATTCATAGCCGAAACATAGAAAGAAAAACCTCTAAGTCAAGGGAAGACATACAATTATGTATTTACTCGACGTATTTAAATGATTTTCTAAGCGCCATGTAGATTTGGCTCAAGGCCTATATTTTCCAAGCGTAACTTAGATATGGTACATGGCTAAAATTATGGGGAATCCAGTGAGGATCGAATTCACTAACCATTGCAGCGCCTCGAGATGCTCTTGATGGTGATTTTCTAACCGTAGCTTAGATGTGGCACAAGGCCGAAAGTAGAGGCACTCAATGAGGACCGAACTCAGTACTTGGTCGTAATTGTTCTAGCGAGACAAGTTTGCTAACCATTACACAAAACCGAGGTGCCGCAAGTGAGGTATTTAATGTGTAAAGCCATTGTTCTAAGTCATCTACGAAGTTCAATTATCGCCAAAATCAACAAATAACAAAACCCACACAAGTCACTTCGTGTTGATTGATGGTAACGGATTAAGAAACCTTAACAATTCATTAGATCATGTAGTTAATGAAAACATGAAGAAATTACTAACTATTATTACGACAGAACGCATGATTGGTAACAGAAATGAAAGCTTAAGGTATAAATTACATAATAGGAAGTAGCAAGTTTGGGCAATTTTATTCCTCTCCGTATTTTCGTAAGAATTGATGGAAAGTCCAAAGAAAGTTGAAGTCGCATATTGAAAAGAGAATCATGTTTTTCAGACGTAGTTTTTTGAGAATGAAAGAATAATTTATTTTACTGTTATACAATTTCTAATTACGTATATGGTAATGAACTCTGAAATATTTCGAAGACAAGGAAGGAAAAAGACGAAGTTACTGGGATATTTTCCTACCGAATAAAGTAGACAACAATGTGATAAATTGGTAAGTTCAAAGGGAAATAAAACCAATCCCAACGTTTAAAAAGGGACTTCTGAAAATTTTTGGAGACATAATGAGGATAGATGGCATAGAGGTCAAAAGTCGTAGAATAAAATCTAATATAAAGCTTCCAACCAACTGACCTTTTTCGCACTAATAAGATACTGATTTAAAAATAACAAAAAACATGAATATAAGTACATATTTACATAAGAAATTTTCACAGCCACATACACACTCACTCCAATATATATAGTGCGATGGATAAATTGATGCTTATATTACCCAAACGTGAAAATAACAGACAAATCATTTTGCTAGAACATTTTTCATGGGGATGACAGTAGAATAAAAAGAGCTTACCTTGTTTCGACTGTTGGAAAGGGATTACATGTTGGAAAATAATCCGTCAATCAAGTCTGCGTAATTTCTTTTAAACTCTGTAGAGGCTGGAAAGTGAGAATTGCGATGATATAGTCCAAATATTGGAACTGTAGTCTATTTTTGGTCTGATCTGATAGAATATATGCACAAGGAATCAGTTACGTTGTGGAGCGATATACGGTCGTATTTTATAGGTTACAGCTGCCTTGTCATAAATTAAAACATATCTGTAATGTTGCAAATATCCGTAATGATCATTTATGAATTTTATTAAATATTTGTATCTTAAATAAATAATTATAATTTGTTTATCATTCGAAATTGTTTTTAAGGTATTGTTAGCGATGCTTGTAACACGAACATCACGTCCATTTACAGATATATAATTAAATGAGAAATAAATACTCACACACACCAGTGCAATTTCATGAAAACAAAATCACAGTTATGAAGTTGAAATGTAAGCATGTTTTTGTCATAAATAATTACATAAAGCTTAAATGAGCCTGTAACTGAAAACTATTTTTAATAATCATATGCGTCGTACATGCCAGAGATTTATTTTGCGCTTTTATTTAGAAATTTAGTTTCTAAATTAATTCCTTTTTTTTAAAAATATATTTGTTTACGATTAATTATACCCATTAATCTCTGTACTGTTTCCATAGAAACGTAACCTCTGGCTAGAAATTTTAAATATAACTGAAAAGTTTAATTATTATCAGGTGGCTGGTGTGAAAGCAATATTCCTTAGACTTTGAAGCCAGCGGGATATATATATATATATATATATATATATATATATATATATATATATATAGAGAGAGAGAGAGAGAGAGAGATAGATAAAAGAGAGAGAGAGGGAGAGAGAGAGAGAGAAGGGGCGCTATGAAAGAATAGGCGTCTATATTACGCAAAAATGAAAATAACACTGACACCTCATTTTAACAGATGCATTTAACAAAGTTACACAAAGGTATCTAGAAAAAGTAACGATACAGTTATTCCATAAAATCGGCATTAGCTTCAACTACGGACTCCAGACGACTTCGGAATCTCCTGAATCTCTTCTGGACGATTTACTTATTTAATTTGGTGAATGCTGCCATAAATTTTCCCTTCAGTTCATCCTTCGTGTCACAAGAAGTTCTGTTAGCTTCTTACTCAACTACGTCCCACACATAATAACCAAGGTTGTTGCAGTATAGGGCGTTAGGTGGTCAGGTATAAGAGTGATATGATCTCAGAATGACACAAGGCTGATTTAAAGGTAAATGTAATTCAAATATTCTGTAAGTAAATAGATCGATACACCAATTAACACAGACCCTTACACGTAGACATGCCCACAGAGATGCATGTACAGTTCGTCTGAAGTTATTATGCAAATAATATAAACCTCAATAAATCGAAAGCTTTGGATTTTTTTTTGTCAAACTTTGAGCGATTAATTACGATGTCAAATCAAGGCTTGAGTTAATTTTTTAGGTAGTTTTCAAAGTGTTTCTTTAAAAGTAGTGGATTTATTATCAAAAATCCAAACTTTACTTGTGCAAAACCATATCATTTCTTCTGCCAATAAAATCAACAACTGCTTAAATATTATAATAGAACAAATTAATAATATATATGATAATTCTTTTAAGAATTTGCATCTTGATATAATGTGGCATCTTCTCAATAACAGCAAGCATTCCATTGATTTTTGCTAATTTCTTTTTTTAATTCAGCAGGTTCGATTTCCCACATGGTGGTTTTATTCGCTTCGCATAGGTCAGTTTGCTGTCATATTATTTGACATCTTCATATAATTTCCTCTTCCCAATTGACCACAAAATTTTGATCGAATTTAAATTGGAACATAGTGGTTGTCATTCGATATTTTTCTCACCTGTGAACGGTTTACAGGTAAACTTGGATACATGTGAAGAAACCTTATCGTGCTTAAATGCACTTTGAAACAAAAAGACTGAGTCCTGTACCATTCAAAGAAATCTGAATTATTAGCACCTGAGAACTCCTTCATTTACTTTGAATTGACAATAATGGTTTAGTCGACAATTTCAGCTCATCTCACACTGTCTCCTCCTTGCTGACTTTGTTTAGCCACAGGCATATCTGCATCGGATAACTTCCATCTTTTGGTCCATTGATCAGGTCCATCTAGAGTTACTGTACTGTACTGATGCGGCATTCACCCTGGGCGGATTGAGTCGGCTTCTTCCTGTTATGAGAAGAAGATTCTTGGGATAAATTACAGAAGTAGGGTACCCAGGCCTACTCGGATAACGTTCTTGCTTGCCGCGGGGTTCCCACAGACGCAGAGACAGGAACGACCAGAAGCCGCCGGTTACCGATACAGACGCTCCTTGGATTTTCACCAGAGCCCTTGTCAGCCGGCGTGTGTGTCAGACCTGTCCGCCTTGGGTGGCCCTACCAGCTTACGGTCAAATCACGCTGAAAACACCGGTTCTCGTTCGATCACCGAAGTTAAGCATCGTAGAGCCAGGTCAGTACTTAGATGGGGGACCGCTTGGGAACACCTTTTACTGTAAGCCCCCAAAGTCCAACCTTTACCTCACAGTCGGTGGGCGGGTGTAAACGGTAGTGTCAGAGCTTGCCGCCCGGAACTTCGTTCCTGGTAGGGCCACCCATCTAGAGTTACCCCAAATTAGCCCGTAAAAAGTAGTACTTTGCTAAAATTGAAAAGATATTTTCCCTCTATTTCCTGGTGCACTTTTGACACTTTAAGAAAGAAAATAGTTTCTATTAGATTTGCTTTACTGAGAGGAATTTTTCTAAGAGACTTCTTGATATATCAAAATTTATGATATATTCTACACATTCTTTCCATCTTGACTAACTATATTATAGCCTGTTCAAAGATCTGAGCACCGACCAAAAGTTATTGTCTCCTTGTAATTCACTTTACCTTACGTATTCTTTGGGGCGACAAGTTCGTAAACCCTTTTCCTTTTTCTTTTTAGTTCTTAGTTATAATTTCAACAGTCCCCTTTATCATTCGATGATCGCTGGGAAGATCCTATGATATTTATTCGCTCAATAATTATTTTCTGTTTTTCAGCATTTGGTACATTTTTATCATTTATCTATGTTTCAGTATATATAATAGAAAAGAAGAAAATACTTTCTATTAGATTTCAGAAGTCTTACGTTAAAATTATCTGATCTGCATAAACGCTTCGGTCAGTCCATTTTCATAGATTTCTAATATCTCAAGATATAACCACTAAAAGCGGCTAGAATTAAGTTAGAGATTTTATCAAGTTTGGAAATAAGCTTGTGTAAATTTGATAAATATTGCTTATTTTGTGTTACTGAAATTTGTGCAATTTACTTAGAAACTTCATACATTTCATATTTTTTTCCTTGCACCGATTTTAGGATAGCCGTGATATTGACATAATATTGTTTTACACCTAATATTTACATTTTAACAAGTCATAAAGAAACGCTATAATAGATGTTTTAGGAAATAATTTATCGACATATTCAAATTTTTTTAATATTGTAAATTTGTTTATGATTATTTGCACGAAGATTAAAATATTTGAATTTAAAATTGTACTTCTATGTTTATGTGTGCATGTGCTGTGTTGTGTATTTTTAATGTGTTTGTTGGCGTCAATGTTTCCAGACAAGTGTTCTTGGTCGATATTGCATAAAATCAAAGAGACCTCTAAAGTGTTACTCCGGGATTCCGTGTCAGAATATTAACAGAAGTTTCCTTCTGTTGTTGGCATTTTATTGACCTCTCTAGGTTGGCAAACGTATTCTATAAATGCTCATTGTGATGGAGAACCCGGGTATATGAAAGAGAAAATTGAAAATTGTTACAGCCAAAATAGTAAGTCAGAACAATTCAGTAATTGCATAACTTGCAGAGTTCTCACGTTTAGTTGAATGTCTGTTATTAGTCGTCCGCGGGAGAAGACATCAACTACTTCGAAACTACTTAGTCTTCCACATGATTATAACGTGTGTAGAGAGGCATTGTCCTGCTAAAGGATAACACGATGGGTCATTATAGATTTTTACAACGTTTAAGTAGGTATTGGAAAATAAATATTTCCATAAATATTTCCATATCTGATAAGTTCAAGGATTCTGGTAAAACTTTGCCAAAACCTCAAAATAATTTGGTCAGCTGATTGTTTTTGCATAGTCCATTCCAGTTTGATTCCATTGAATAACAAAACGGAGATTGCATTTGATGGCAGATTAATCAATCTGTTGCGTATAATTGAAGTTTGTGTTTAAAATAATTTGCTTTTGAGGTCATGAATTTTGGGGATCTATAGGTTATTCTCTGGTTGATTTCCCTCCTGGATCGCTACAACTGAACGTGAAAACTTCACAAGATCGGCAGTTTCGTAAATGACTCACACAATTCCCAGGGTCTTTTGTTTGAATGATTTCTATTTGATTTACCTATTCTTATTGCTTCTAACCCTGATATTTGAAGCAATTCAGCTGCAAATATCTGACATACTTACCACATATCGCAGGGTTTATTGCTCGGCTTTACCAATATATATATATATATATACACACATATATATATATATATATATATATATATATATATATATATATATATATACAGACAAACACACACAATCCAGGAGGGAAATCAACCAGTGAATAACCTATAGATCCCCAAAATTCATGACGTCAAAAGCAAATTATTTTAAACACAAACTACAATTATACACTGACATCAATTTTCACATTTAAATTTACGCACGATCGCTGATATTGAGCTATTTATCCTATAAATATAGTACACCTTAAGAGTATATTTCTTCATCCGTATGTAATAAAGGCTAAAAATAATGGAAGTATTGATAAAAAAGATAACTTAACATTCAGTAACATCAATTATAAACACAGACACAATGTGCTAACCGCGTTTGTAAAATAAAAACATTGCTATAACGTAAAATACATCCACAAAAATCCAAATATTCTGTTAATAGAAACAAAAACAGAAAAAAAAACAATCGTCCTTGATACTGAACAAAGGAATAGCGAAAACGCTTGGACATACACAACATTCAGCCAATTTCTAAATAATTTTTGTCCAGAAAATAATTATAACCCAAGAAAAATTAAATAAATAAATTAACCGCACATTACTTTGCCAGTTGTATTTAAATAAACGTGTATATATATATATATATATATATATATATATATATATATATATATATATATATATATATATTTTTATATATATATATATATATATTTTATATATATATATATATATATATATATATATATATATATATATATATATATATATATATATAGTGTGTGTAACTGTAAAACAAGGAAAGCACATTCCCTATTACTTTGTTTAAAACTGTGCCTTTATCGTATCTGTTAATATTTGTTTGATTATCTTATTTATTAGTTTCTTTTGATCATAAACATTCATGTGCAACATTAATAAACGTTTTCTTTGCTCAATTCTGGGAATTTTACTAAACCTTTCTAATAATTTGGCACGGTCAAATCACTGTACTGATAACTAATATGGTGCCAGTTTGTTTACATTGCGCAGATCAGTACGAAAATTTCAGTGATTGCTCAGGTCAGTGTTGCCAACATTGTGTGAACATTTTCTGTGAATTGATTGGACGGTTATTGAAATATTAGAAAAGTTTCTTCATAATAATTTGGCACATATATATATATATATATATATATATATATATATATATATATATATATATATATATATATATATATATATATATATATATATATACTCGACTGTCTCGTCGAATTCGACGTATGAGGGTCAAGCAGATAAGTTCCCAGGAAAGCGACAGCCCGACAACGGCACCTGATATTTGATTATATTTGTGAAGACTTCGTGCAGGACCATCCACGCTTTTTGAAGGTCCGATTACAGAGACCTGGTGCACTATGTGCCACAATGTCCCTAAATGACCCTCCGCAGGTTTCGAATTCAGAGTTGTCCTTCTCCTTGACCAGTTGCCATCCAAGGCTATAGAACCCAATCTTCCCTCTATTTACCCATAGCTGGAGGGAGAAGAAGTGACTTCACACCTTTCCCAAGTGAATGTAATAGATTTGACTGGAATTCGAACTCGTCTCTCCGATTCATCAATCCAAGCCGCTATACATTACTCCCTACACACACACACACACACACACACACATATATATATATATATATATATATATATATATAGTGTAAATACGGTCCGCTCATCGTAGTTACAGTCTAAAACACAGGGGACTCTCTGGGTGTTGAACAAACGCAAATGTATCTGAGTAAACGTCTACAAAGGGGATTAGCTAAACGCTGTATTAGACGGTCATAGTCGGATACGATTTGCCGAGCCATTTAGATACATATTAGTCTATGAATAGGCTATTCTTATATTGATTTGATTTAATATAATATTCGAGAGGAATCCATTAGGCTAGTATGCAGAATTATTAATAAGTTTTAAGTGAATATGAGATGGCAAGTTGTATCTGAAGAAATACAATCAGCCAAAACCACTGCCCAGCCAACTGAAGGAAAAAATATCCGGATGCCACGTTGGGCTCAAATGAAAATCATCATTTATGGCAAAATCAATAATATGACGTCATACTAAATTTGAAGTGTGATTCATTCAATTCAGAAATATAAAAATGGAAATACGACAATTTGAAAAAAATTAACATTAAATCTAAAACATCGAGTAATTTAATAAAATTAATATAGTCTGTCACAAGGCCAGCGTTTTGTATCATCAGTGAAAGTAATTATACTGGACAATAAGCCTCGGAATCTAGTTTAGTAAAACATAGAACAGGTGAATGAATCAAAAGTTACTAATACTTGATTACTCTTTGAAAATATCGAAAGATCCTGATCATGGAAAAATGCTTTAACAAATTATAACATTCTGTCAAATTGATTTATGAAGCGATGTCGTAACTAGTGTCCTTCAGTAGGCAACAGATTTCTATTCGTCAAGGCTGGCTTATTATTACAGCACTATCTAAGATTAGAATTCAGCCGATCCATTTTGACCTAACAACACTATTTGTCATGAGGCCAACAAACGTTACGCACACTTCCTTATGTATGTGTATGCGCGGTGTTTTAATTTTGCTATATTTATATAGGCGGTTTTTCAATATCTGAGATAGAGTGTTCATAGAAATCAACAACAGCAGCCAACACAGCAAGCTCACTGCAAGCTACCCACTTCCATGAGATCATTAGACTTAGTAAAGCTACTCTTTAGTGGGGTCTATATATAGTTTAATAGCAGTCATGTGAAATGTATTTACAGCCCATTATAGGAGTAGTGGTATCAAGATATATTGAGGCCTAGAATTTACAGCCCCCATGCAATGTTGACTCACGTCTATATTGTCTATCTCTTTCTTCCTTTCCCCCTATTTTTTTAAATTTCTATTTCACGCCCTCTCTCTTTCTCTGTCTCACTCTGTCTCTCTCGGTCTTTCTCTGTGTCTCTCTGTATATATATATATATATA